TACCCCTGCAACCACTGAAGGTGTAACACCCTACCCATTTACCTCGTCCCTGTTATCCAAGGGCCCAAACATACTTGCCAGGTGAAGCAACACTTCACCTGCACTTCCCACAGTCTAGTCTGCTGCATTCACTGCTCACAATATGGTCTCCTCTACACTGGAGAAACAAAACATAGACTGGGTAACTGCTTCGTAGAACATTTATGGTCTACCCACAAAAAAGACCCTGACTTCCAGTTGCCTGCCCCTTTAACACAGCATCCTGTTCCCTGGTCAACATCTCTGTCTCAGGCTTGCTGCAGTGTTCCAGTGAAGTTCAGCACAAGATGGAAGAACAACACCTCTTCCGGTTGGGGACTCTGCAGCCCTCCGGGCTCAATATTGAGTTCAATAATTTTAGGGCCTAAACTTGCATGTCTAGACCTCTACCCCACACACCAGGCTATTACACACTAACAGTCCCCATTTAACAGCTATTCACCCTCCCAGCCAGATTGTTATCCACTCCTTCATCTGTCCAACTGCTCTCTCTCTTGGGCTCTATGCCCACCTATCATGTACTCCTGACCTCCCCCCACCCTATCTTCTACATATAAACCAACATTTTCGTAGCTACCATCGGTTCTGAGGAAGGGTCACTGGACCTGAAACGTTAACTCTGATTTTTTTTTTCCCCCACAGGCGCTGCCAGACCTGCTGAGCTTTTCCTGCAACTTCTGTTTTTGTTCCTGATTTATAGCCTCTGCAGTTCTTTCAGAATTTTAACAAGAAAGAAGGGCTTGAAAGCAGAAGCAAAGTGGTACCTCAGTCCATGTACGTTATGCTCTGCATCAAGATGTGACAAGGGGCACAAGAGACTTTTGTTTTTTTTCAGAGCTCCCTCTTTTATTAGAGAAGATAATTTATGCCCTAGATTGCAAGATTGTGGGGCATGTTAAACTTAACTGTTGCTTTCTGGGTCCAAATTGATTTAATAATTCTCAGCTGTAGTGACTGACAGTCCTGAATGCTAAACTTAGGATCATGTTGCCATTGAGCTGATTAGTCACTGTCATTTCAGATAACCTGCATCTAATTTTAAAATGCTGGATAGGTTGAAAGCCTATTAAATATCCATTTCACAAGGGTGCAAGGAACTTGTACCTGTTGCTACAGTTTGTTTAATTCTGTTAATAATCTGGCATTTCTGATTTTTAACTGGGTAATCAAACTGTAATCTGCCCTTGGGTTCTGTTTGCAGTTCACACTTTTGTGGGCACGAAATCTTCACCAGGATTTTTTCTTTATAAAACAAACTCTACCCAAAAAATCTAACTACAGCAAATTGTTCCATGTGATTTTTTAATTGTATGTATTCAATCTGATTCAGGTCTTGCATGGTGGAGGAGTCTGGAACACTTGAATCACAGCTTGAGGCAACCAAGGTAGTTCATCATTCTTATTCATATAAAGCATTAAAAGGTAAGACTTCCATTACTGGCGAGGAGGGAATGCCCGAATTTAAATTCGGAAAGACTACGTTCTAACTGAAGTTCTTTTAAATGAGAAGTTTTTGAGAACAAATAGTGAAAGGTTACTTGGTTGGTGAATTACCAACATGGCAAAAATTGCAGAGCATTACTAGAGGAAAGACAGAAAAAGCACAGGGTTGTTTTAAAATATTTTAATTTCGTAAGTACTTAATGAGGATTATAAGGAATGTAGGGATTGGGAAGAGGAAATGGGATTAAAGTAGATAATAATGCCACTCGCAGGAAATATGTTCCTCCTATACTTAGTTTCATTACATCTTCATCACAGGTTTATTTTGCTGCTAAAACGATCACGGACTACTCAAAATTTGAGTATAATGTGTTTCAATTTAAACCATATTCAATTAAAATACAACACGGGGAAACCATGTGATACATTCACTTCACTGTCAAGCAGCTGAAACACGTTTTAGAAAAACTGAACACCAGTTTGATTCTTGTGTTAGAATTATTGATTCAGGAATGAAAGTGGAGAAAATGTTTTGATATTGCAATGATTTTTGCTAACTTCTTAAAAGATTTGACTGCAATATTTATTCGATCACAGAGAAAGCATCAGGAGATTCGGGCAATGAGAAGTCAGCTGAAAAAGATTGAAGATCTTGGGGCAGCTATGGAGGAAGCCTTGATCTTGGACAACAAATACACAGAGCACAGCACTGTAGGACTGGCACAGCAATGGGACCAACTGGATCAACTTGGAATGAGAATGCAACATAACTTGGAGCAACAGATACAAGCCAGGTATCACCAGTAGCTGAAACTGCACAACTGGAACATACATCATTTGTGCTTGAGTGATTTAAAATCAGATATCTTAGCGGCTCAGCCCATTTAAGTTCTGCGTCCTCTGGTCTCCTTTGTTCCTTTTTGTTTTTGGTTTGCAGTTTCTATAGGTTGGAATCATAGAATGGCTTCCTTCTGTTCTATGACCAGTCTAAAATCTTATTTTTATTGGCTCTTATCAACCTGTCCTGCAGCCCCTATAGAATTGTATTATTTTGGTAGAGGATCAGTAAGGCACACATTTGAACTCCAACTACCCTAATTTTCTACTCGTATCAGCTGTATATTTGGGAAATCTATTTATTTGTGAAATTCTGTTGATGCATTTGTTTATTTTATAGGAACACAACTGGTGTAACTGAAGAAGCCCTTAAAGAATTCAGTATGATGTTCAAGTAAGTGAGTTCATACTTGATGAAGGTTTTTGTGTAGGAGGTTGCCATTGTACAATAACTAACTTGTTTTCTTTCCCCAAGACACTTTGACAAAGACAAGTCTGGACGTCTGAACCATCAGGAATTCAAATCATGCTTGCGCTCACTGGGTTATGACTTACCGATGGTAGAGGAAGGAGAACCAGACCCTGAATTTGAGGCTATTCTGGATGCTGTTGACCCCAACCGGTGAGACGAACATGCCATAAAATAAATCCTAGTATAAAGAGATGTCCAGAACAGTGTGTGTTGGCTCAGATAAAGACATTATCAGCTTGAATCTGCCCAAGTTTTCTGGTTCTGGTCACTGTAACACTAAGAATGTCTGTCTGTATTTTGGGAGGGAAAATTGGCTAAGGTTTTCTGTACTCCTGATTTGCTTATCTGCAATGTATCTAATGTGATGATGCATCTCATTGTGGAATAGCTAGTCAACACACTGCCTTGGCTCTCATGTAAATAATGGGTTTGGGAAAGAGGTTTATTTTTGAAACTTGCATACAAGCAGCACACTTGATGTGCTTTGGCATGACTATATGAAGCATTTAATTATTCATCTTAAATCTTTGAACAATAAGTTTAACTATGTTGGGTATCGAGTGGTGAATGTTCCTCTTCAGTTTAACTTGCTGAAAATATAGTAGCTACAACAAATGGTTTTTCATGTTAGAAAAAGTGAGGGAAACATTCTATTTTATGTTTGCTTCATTTGGATTGCAGAGATGGATATGTATCACTACAAGAATACATGGCCTTCATGATCAGCAGAGAAACAGAAAATGTGAAGTCTAGTGAGGAGATTGAGAGTGCTTTCCGTGCCCTCAGCTCAGAAGGAAAACCGTTTGTCACACGTGAAGAACTCTATCAGGTAATACAGCAACTGTTGAAAGGTTATTTATGGACATTTCCTTACTACAACAAATGAGTGGAGGCTTATTGAGGAGTAAGATGTTGCATCTTGCAATTCACAGGCTATATAGTGATGACTTTAGTCCAACAACTAATGTCACTTTTACATGACATGGAAGCTCATGGCCTAATGGTATTATTGCTGTGCTGTTAATCCAGAAACCCAGATAATGTTCAGGGGACCTGGGTTCGAATCCCACCACGGCAGATGGTGGAATTAAGAGTCCAATGATGACCATGAATTGGAAAAACCCAACTAGTTCACTAATGCCCTTTAGGGAAGGAAACTGCCGTCCTAAACTCATCTAGCCTTCATGTGACTCCAGACCCACAGCAATGTGGCTGACTCCGAACTGTCCTCTGGGCAATTAGGGATGGGCAATAAACAGTGCCTGGCCAGCGATGCCCTCATCCCGTGAACAAATAAAAAGAAAAATCACAGCTGGTGTGTGTTTTAGAAATGATTATCAGTAACACCACTTAGTGTACACTAACTAATGTATTCCAATTGTTTTGTTTCTAGAACCTGTCAAGGGAGCAAGCTGATTACTGCCTCTCACACATGAAGCCATACACAGATGGCAAAGGCAGAGAGATTCCTTCAGCCTTCGACTATGTGGAATTCACACGATCGTTGTTTGTGAACTAGAAGCTACCAAAATCAGCCTATTATCTGCTAATGTTAGCTCTGCATGTCTATCTTTGTGCAACTATAAATAGTCAGACATCCGTAAAATGGCTTGCTTTTGTGCTTTGCTTGGAAAATTTTTATTACTATAATTGTCGATTGCAGTGTGCTCAATAAACACTACTAATTCAAACTGGCCTATGATTTACAGTTGCTGATAGTGATTGATTCTGCTGTCATTCTATATTTATCTATCCCCTGTTTTCTTTTAAAGCTGAAACTTTTCAGGAATGGAGTCTTACTCCCCTACTTCTAATTGGAATTCACCTTCAAAGAGCCAACAGCATTACTGTTAGGTCCATATGCTGCATGTGTAAAGCAGCAATTCATTGGACAGTATAAACACACAAGTGTTTGCACTGTCCAAAATGAGAGAAGTAAATCCCTGCTTGTGCAGCTACTCCCTCACTGTTCCTTCCAAGATCACTAGTTAGCTACACCACAAATGTAATGTTGCACATGTTTGTGGTTAATCTCAGTTTGTTATTTAGGTGCTACTGAGGCTTGATTAATTTGCTTTTACTGCAACTGAAAAGAAAGTGAGTGTGTATCTGTAATGCTGCTAGATACTTCCCTGTCCAAAAAATGCTTTATGGACCAGGCAAGGTTTTTTTTAAGTTCTCAATTTACAAGTCATGCTTTAAACAAATGTATTTCTCATTCCTTCTAGTATTAAACTTTATTTCACAATCTTTTACAGCACTTTTATATACACTGAATCAAGCTATATTTATAAAAACTAAACACCAAGAAGATTAAGCAGAAAGTTCCTCTAGTACTCTTTAGAAATTCACCAGCCAACTATCTCTGGTCAATCTGCTGCTTCATTGGCAAACTGTTCAAGTAGAGAAATTTCCCTTGATCCTCCTTTGGTCAGTTCAGCACTCAACTGCCAGATTTTCACACTTCCTTCTGCATTACCAGCTGCAAGTAGCTCAGGTCGCTTGGGGTTAAATGCCAAACAGTACACTGGTTTCCTTTCTGTGTTCTGCTCAATAGAGACTGCTGGACGGAGAGAGCTGTGCCCAAGGTCAAAAATCAACACAGTTCCTGGAGTGGGATATGGGGAAAAAAAAAGTTGTCACTCAAAGTTTAAAAACCCTCCTCCCAACAATTTTTCCATTATCCATTTCAGATAAGAATAAATCAGTGCTTTAAAGACTAAACATTTCAAACCAGAATCTCCATTTCCACCTACACTGGCCCAGTTTTATGATATATGTATGTATTAAAACATCCCACCAGTGAGACAAAGCTAATCTAACACGAGGCTCCCAGGATGAATCCTCATAAGCTGTTCCATAAGTGACATTTTAAATGACTGGAATTTTACCTCCCTCTCACTAGATACAGAGTTTAGAGTCAAGGCAGCTGAAGACACACCTAAGAATGATGAAGTGGTGAACATCACCATGTAGAAAAAGGCAAATGAAAGACTCCAGAGATCCTAGGCGGTATTAGAACTGCAGAAGGTCAACAGGAACAAGGGCATAGTAGAGTTTGAAAACAAAGCTGAGAATTTAAAATCAAAGCACTGCCAGATCCGGAAAGGAGGCAATGGGTGAACAGACCTTGGTGTAAAAAGACATGCACCAGTCTGGTCCATTGTGTGACACTGGCATTAATCCAGGGATTGCTGAACTGCAAATTCTTAATTTGGACCTCTGCTCCTTAAAATACCATCAAATCCAAACCCAGCACTTCAATCTTGGATCCAGCTTACCTTCTCCCGTGGCTGCAGCAAAGACAAGAGGTCGAACAAAGGACCAGTTAACACTGAAGAGGTAACTCTGACATAACTGAAGAGATAGAATTGGTTCAGCCTGCAGCATGGAATAAAGATGTACATGCCCATCGGTGCCAGCAGTGAGGAAGAGGTTCCTGTGAAGAGATGAGTTACATTGTCAAATTATGGAGTGTACAATATCAAAACTTAATAGGACTGTCCAAATACTTGCATTGCTATCATGCCTTTCACAATCTCATGTCCCACAGTGCTCTACAGCTAATTAAGTATTTTAATACCAAATAAGGGGAAAGCAATGGTCCAGTGGTATTTTCGCTAGACTATTCACAGACACATGTAATGTTCTGGGGAGCCAGGTTCAAACCTGCAGCATGACAGTTTACCGCATTTCAATAAAAATCCGCAAATAATGGTCTAAAGGTTGTCCAATGAAATCATTGTCCGTAATCAGAAAAAACCCACCTTGACCTGCGGGGCTGTCCATTACCTGGTCTGGCCTGTACACAGCTCCAGACCAACCATGTGGCAGATTCAACTGCCCAATTAGGAATAGGCAATAAATGCCAGTGACACCGACACTGAATTTTTTTTATCCAGTCAGGCAAAGGGAGACAGTGGTATCACAGTAATGTTATTCGCCAGCCAGAGGCTCAGCCTAATGTTCTACAGACATGCTTAAAATTAATTAATTACAAATCTGGCTTTGAAAGTCGTCGTCGTCGTCGTCGTCATCAATTGCTTTAGACCCATCAGGTTCACTAATGCCCTTTAGGGAAGAAATCTGCGACCTGGCCTATACAGTTCTAGACCTACAGCAATATGGTTTACTTGCAATTGCCTTTTGAAATAGCTGAGCAAGCTACTTAGTTGAAGGGCAATTCAGCATAGGCAACGAACACTGGCCTTGCTGGCTACACCCATAACTTTTAAATGAACAAAAAAAAATGTAGCAAAAGTTAGTTTGTACACAGCAAGGTTCTAACACTACAAACTGAATTACCTAATTGCAATGTAGATTGAAGAATAAATATAGACACAGGATACTAGGAAGAAATCCCCACCTCTTCAAAATAATATTATTCAATCTTTGAATCTAACAGAGAGGGCAACAGTTTAATCCAAATGTCAGCACATAAAACAGAATGGCACTTCGTCAGCACTGCAGTGGAGTTCTCCCATCCTGATAAAAAGGGCTGCAGAATTTCTACAAAAAACTCTGGAGAGCAAATTCAAAAAGCGGAAGTACACTACCATTTTAATAGGAAGTTAAGAAGGGCCAGGGACACAACTTAGTTATATCAAACTAGATCAAAGTTAGATGCAATGGAGGTGGTTTCTCTGTTTTGCCATCCTAAGAAAATAGTGGATCTCCAGAACAGGTCGTCAGTTTATACACTGGATGCTGTTTTACTGAAGTCCTTCAAGGCAAAGCAAGATTCCAATTCTAACTAAGGTAGAGACCTCCTTGTACAAAAGTTGGGTACTGTGAAGAATTCAAGATTAGAATTAATTACATTTCATCATGTAAGTGGCACCTCTGATGAATTTCCCATTCCTTCTACCCTAGTTTTTTTTAAACCTGTCTGTCATTATTCATATACTGACCTGTGGAATGGTGAGCAATCAACAGCATGAACTGGACCACAGTGTGGAGAAAAGGTGAACTGAGCTGGGGCCTTCAATGGAACAGAGCCAGAGCTCAATGTTGCATGAGTCAGAACTTCTGTTGAGCACTTCAACACATAGCCGCCTTCCACACCAGCAATGAACACAGTTTTATCCAGACGAGAGAAAGAGAGAGACGTCACACCAAACAAACTGTCTTCACTAACCTGTGGATGATTTAACATAAAAAATGACAAAGAAAGCATGAAAGAAAACTATATCTTGTGCATTTGACAAGTTCTATTCATACAAGATGTATTGGGAACAGGAGTCTATTCAAGCACTCTGAATCTGCTAAGCCACCATTCAATGAGATCACAACCAATTCACAATCTAATTCTAACTGCCTGCCTTTTCCTGCTTTAACACCAAAGGAATCTCTCAGCATCTACACTATCAAGGTTCTTCAGAAACTTTTATATCTTAATGTGATCACTTACCATCCTTCTCAGTTCCAGAAAATAAAAGTCCAATTTACTCAGTCTCGCATCGTATGATAAGCCACTCATTCCAAGGACTAAATTAGTCAACCTTCACTATACTGCCTCAACTGTAAGTATACCCTTCTGTGAGTGATATAACTCAGCAGGTCTGGCAGCATCCACGGAGAAAGAAACAAGAGTTTATGTTGAGTTCAATGTATTTCTTAGGAAGTACTTCTGAAGGTCTGAAAAGATTCTGAAGAAAGCATACACAGCTCTCCAAAATCTGCAGTACTTTGCTTTTATCATAGTCTTTATATGCAGTCTCACCAAAATCCTGTACAATTTTAGCAAGATTTTTCTTTATCATTTTACTCTTCAATCCCTATTGCAATGAAGGCAAACATCCTAGTTGTCTTGTTAATAGCTTGCTGGCTACCGATGTGTCTGAGGCAAGAAGGAGAGAGAGAGGATTACTGATATCCAGTAAACTATGACCTTAGCCTCAGTTTGAGACATTTCCCTCCACAAAAAAAACTCTTCGGTTAGCTACAGGCTAAGCTGGCACATTGTAGGCAATGATGAATTTTATCATCTGTGTCTTTCTTCATTGAGAGGAAGCTTTCAGGTGTGGAAAATGATCCACATTTTCCAGGATCTCACCACTGACTTAAATCAATGGGGGAGGTTGTGGGAATGAGGAGAGAGGAGGAAATGTGCTGAGAGTGCTGGTTAGAAGAAGACCTTAGGTTTCTGGGTGTTCAGTGAAAGGCCTGTTTTCTTCTTATGCTTTGGAGGAGGAGTTGATAATGACCTCAAGGTTCAATTTCTGAATGAGTACACGTAATCTGCATACCAAAGCTCAATGACCGAGGTTAGAATGACTTTGGTTTTGGATTGAAGGTGATGCAGTTTCCCACTTGTTCTGTAAATAATCTTCACTGCCACAACCCTGCTACATATAATGCATTTGAAATCAAGCCCACTATTCCAATAATCTTCACAAGTACAAAATATGACCAATTTAATCTCTAGCACAAGAATGCCTGACAGTGATCAATGTTCTCTCTAGGATGGGAAAAAAAATATAAATTATTAATATGCAAACTTAAAATGCAATCTTTTTATATGCAAGCACACGTACGTTCATCCGCACATCAAACACATCGACAGATGAGACAAAATTTTTTTCGGATAATCATTGGTGAAAAAATAACAGGCAAAAACAACAGTTTGTGGATCAAATTTCAATGCAAAAGGGGAATAGCAGACAGTTTTGTTTTCTTAAAATTTGACTTTTGACAATGAAATGCTGTTGTCCATTAAGCAATCCTCAATTCTGTAGCCAGCCAGAAGGACATAGGTCTTGGTTTGAATTAGCAGTTGTTTCTTTTTTCAAAGTGTTTTAGTTTTATTTCTTTCACCAGGCGAGTGACAGTGATTTCACTTGCTGATTGGCTTGAAGGTCGAGTCCCAACTGGTCTCTCTCCTGTTAGAATCAATCCAAATCCTGTTGCTAAACAGTTACTTTCTTTTTTTAAAAGACAACTGGTGCGAATCCCAAAGTATCAAAACACAGCTTCCAGTAAAGTCAAAGTGTGGAGCTAGAGGAACACAGCAGGCCAGGCAGCATCAGAGGAACAGGAAAGCTGATATTTCGGGTCCACATTTTGTTATCTCTGACTCCAGCATCTACAGTTCTTGCTATTCTGGTAAAGTCATATGCTTGTGTTAACCATTAAGCGACCACTTAGTTCCTTTTTTCCTTCAAGTTGTTAAAAAAAACCTAAATCAAATATCCACCTTCCACTTTATCGTTCCAAATAAAATGCTTAGTCCTCACATCGCATCTATGGGTAGCCTGCTGGAAATACGAGGAAGATGGAAAAGAGGGCTGATGCTATCACACAGCCTTGTTTGACTTCACTTGGATTCCAATAGTTTTGGTTTCAAAGAATCAAAAGTTGAAGAGGACAGTTTGAATTCAACCAGCAAAACCCCTGCAACCTCACAAGAACGCACCACCAGTGCTGGCTTTTATGGTTATGTGTAACTAAACGGGTGACATCTGTCTGTGACAAATTGACATTTCTTTGGCTCACTAATGAGTCGAGATAACTGGTTAATCATCAATAGTGTATCCTTGATTACTGCATACTGACTTAGATCAGATCACCTGGTTTATCGGAGAAGATGACTTCTTGCTTGACAAATATCATCTTAGGAATGCTATAATCTCTCTTGAACCCTCCCTCTCCCCTAGGAAAGCAATCATGACAAGCATGATTTTGAACGTGTCCAATAACTAGCAAATACTAACAGTTTGTCATGAACAGCATAAATACACAAGAACATTGTTATCTAATCAATACAGAGATATTTCATACCCCATTGTGGTAGATATAATGGAATCAGTTTTCTTGGATATGCAAGAACATTCTCTCCAATTGACGCCTCGTAGGAGTTATAAAGTCATAGTCATACAGCACATCATTTACTTGCATTAAACTTCGTCTGCCACTCCTCGGCCCAGTCAATCAAGATCCCGTCATACTCTTAGATAATCTTCTTCACTGTCCATTATATCACCAATTTTGGTGTCATCTGCAAACTTACCAACAATGCCTCCTATATTTTCATCCGAATCATTTACATAAATGATGAACAACAGTGGACCCAACACCAATCCTTGCAGCACACCACTGGTCACAGGCCTCCAGTCCGAACAACAACCCTCTACCATCGCCCTCCGTCTCCTATTGTCTGGCCACTTTTGTATCCAATTAGCTACCTTGCTGGATCCCATGTGATCTAACCTTACTAACCAGCATACCAAGCAGAACCCTGTCAAAAGCCTCGCTAAAGTCCACATAGACAAAGTCTACCTTTCTGCCTTCATTATTTTCTTAGTCATCTCTTCAAAAAACTGAATTTGTGAGACGTGATTTCGACACACATGAAGCCATGGTGTCTCAACTCTCATTAGTTATACACAAAATATTTATCATGCTTTATCTCAGAATCAGTTTTCACTTATTGAAGCTACAGACCTTCTACCATCATTATAGAGGGTGTTTAAGTTTATGTAGCTGCAGAATTTCAGACATCTCATCAACGTGATTTCGTTAAACTGCTTTACCGGACAAAGTCTGAATCTACATTAGACAAGCCCAATTCATTTTACAAAGCCTATTCACCTTGTGAAGTTTGACATTGCGCGGCATCTGCTGAACGATCAGGGCGAAACCATCCTGCAGTACTAGCTGACCTCTCCCATCCATTTGCCAGATCAGAATCTTGCCATCAGTGCTCGCACTCAGAACATTAATTCTGTTACTGCGGCTTAAACTTTGGATCCAGTGCACCTGTTTTGGGGGAAAAAAAAAACAGTTTTGCTTTAAAATTCAAATATTTGAAGAAAGCAAATAAGAAGTCTAACTCATTCCTTTTTTTTCTCCTGATCGTTCTTCTGTCCCAGTTTTCATCCCCTTCCCCAAAATCTAAACACTGGGTAGGGAGTGATGATCCCTTCCCTGACTTGTGTTAGCCTTAAAATACTGCATCCCAGGATCAATCACCCATAAAAACTAATTGAAGATGCCTAACATGTTGTAAATTCATCGATTTAGTCTTTCCCCCAACTCTTAGACATCAAAAATGACACCTTCCTCAAGGTAACACACAGATTATCCCTACATGAGAAGTTGCACCTTTAGGTGATCATTTAAATAAAGGAAAAAAGAGGAACTGAGGATAAATTGTTGGAGCACATCAGGATAGACAGGGTTAGGAGGAGTTGTGGAGATAGAAAGGGTGAGCGAAGGGGGAAAAGAAAGAAGTTGAGCAAGAAAAGGCAATGCATTCATGTTACTGGCTGTGCTGGGTGGAGGATGGAATAATCAATGTATTAAAAATAAAAACAGAAAATTGTGGAAACAGAGAAACTTTTGATGAAAGGTCATAAACCTGTATTGTCAACTGCACAGATGTCTCTCCACAGACGTTACCTGGGCTGCCAAGAGAAAATGCTAGGATTATTTTTCAACAAGAGTTTTTAATTCCACATTTCCAGCATCTATAGCATTTAGCTTTTCTTTTCAAATGGTCACTGATTTCCATTCTACCTCAGTCAATGCTGAAACCCTCCATGCCTTTCAACGTTCAGGGTCAGACCATCCTCATGCTTCCCTTCAAGTCGCCTCTGAAACTTGAACACACAATCCACAGCTCAACTCATAACTCATAACAAGTCCTGTTTAACTATCATCCCCATGCCCACTGACCTACATTGGATCATGAAACAATAATACTTCAATTTGAAAATCCTGATCTCATTTTCAAATCCATCCACAGTCTCAACATTGCCCATCGCAACAACTTTCTCCAGACCCATAACTCCCTCAGGTTCCTGTAGTTCTTGGGCTCTGGATTCTTCAGCATCCCCCACTCCTTTGTAGCTCCTTAAACGATGCCTATGCCTTTAGTTGCCTAATGTAATGCCCTCTGTAAACTTCTACCTCTCTTTTTCCTCCTTACTGGGAAAGCCAAGCTGTCCCAATATCACTCAACAATATTTTGCTATTAAGGAAGTGTGTTTATGTGTGTCTATGTGGAAGAGGGGAAGGAGAAAAAGGACTAATCAGCAAAAGGTGTGCCCACAATGTCGGACTGCATAATTGATGAGGAGAAGGATTAATAAAAGCTTAATTCCAAGATCACCACTTTAGTGAAGTGGCAATGGTGTGCCCACAAAAGCCCTCTGGCTTGGACCATAGGCTGAGATTCCCAGACTTCAAAGTTATCTCCTATTAAAATGAATGATCTCAGAACTTAACAAAAGCAAAATACTGCAGATGTTGGAAATCTTAAAGACAGAAAATTCTGGAAAACACTCAGCAGTCCAGGCAGTACTTGTGGGTGACAAGCTGGCTAATGCTTCAAGTTAATAACCTATTTCCAGATCTGGAAGCAGTGAGACATCCAACAAGTTTCAACAAACACAGAACCAGGGAAAAGGAGGGAGGTGTGGGAAAGATCAGAGGCAAAAACCTGTGATATAGGATAAGGATGTTGCTAGGGTTGGAGGGTTTGAGCTATAGGGAGAGGCTGAATAGGCTGGGGTTATTTTCCCTGGAGCGGCAGAGGCTGAGGGGTGACATAAGAACTACGAGCAGGAGTAGGCCGTCCGGCCCCTCGAGCCTGCTCCGCCATTAAATAAGATCACGGCTGATCTTTTCGTGGATTCAGATCCACTTACCTGCGTTCTCACCGTATCCCTTAATTCCTTTATTGTTAAAAAAAAATCTTACCTTATCTTTAAAAACGTTTACTGAAGTAGCGTCAACTACTTCACTGGGCAAGGAATTCCATAGATTAACAACCCTCTGGGTGAAGAAGTTCCTTCTCAATTCAGTCCTAAATCTGCTCCCTCTAATCTTGAGGCTATGCCCTCTTGTCCTAGCTTCACCTGCCAGTGGAAACATCCTCTCTACTTCTATCTTATCTATTCCCTTCATAATTTTATATGTTTGTATAAGATCCCCCCTCAATCTTCTGAATTCCAATGAATATAATCCCAATCTACTCAGTCTCTCCTCATAAGCCAACCGCCTCAACTCCGGAGTCAACCTAGTGAACCTCCTTTGCACCCCCTCCAGTGCCAGTACATCCTTTCTCAAGTAAGGAGACCAAAACTGCACACAGTACTTCAGGTGTGGCCTCACCGGCACCTTGTACAGCTGCAACATAACCTCTCTGCTTTTAATCTCAATCCCTTTAGCAATGAAGGACAAAATTCCATTTGCCTTCCTAATTACTTGTTGTACCTGCAGACCTACCTTCTGTGATTCATGCACAAGGACACCCAGGTCCCTCTGCATAGCAGCATGCTGCAACTTTTTACCATTCAAGTAATAATCCTTTTTACTATTACTCCTACCAAAATGTATGACTTCACATTTATTTACATTGTATTCCATCTGCCAGACCTTTGCCCACTCACTCAATGTATCTATGTTCCTCTGCAAAGTTTCACAGTCCTCTGCACACTTTGCTCTGCCACTCATCTTAGTGTCATCTGCAAACTTTGACACCCTACACGTGGTCCCCAACTCCAAATCATCTATATAAATTGTAAATAATTGCGGTCCCAACACCGATCCCTGAGGCACACCACTAGTCACTGACTGCCAGCTAGAATAGCACTCATTTATCCCCACTCTTTGCTTCCTGTTGGTCAACCAATCCTCTATCCACGCTAATACTTTACCCTTAATGCCATGCATCCTTATCTTATGCAGTAGCCTCTTGTGCAGCACCTTGTCGAAGGCCTTTTGGAAATCTAGGTATACCACATCCACTGGGTCCCCATTGTCCACTTTGCTCGTAATGTCTTCATAGAATTCCAAAAGATTTGTCATGCATGACCTGCCCTTCATGAACCCATGCTGCGTCTGCCCAACGGGACAATTTCTATCAAGATGCCTTGCTATTTCTTCCTTGATAATAGACTCAAGCATCTTCCCCACTACAGAGGTTAAGCTAACCGGTCTATAATTCCCCATCTTTTGTCTACTTCCCTTTTTAAACAATGGCGTCACATTCGCTGTTTTCCAATCTGCTGGGACTGCCCCAGAGTCCAGCGAATTTTAGAAAATTACCGCCATCTCTTTTAGTACCCTGGGATACATTCCATCAGGGCCAAGAGACTTATCAATCCTTAGCTCCATTAGATTGCCAACACTACCTCTTCCGTAATTATGATTGTTTCCAGGTCCTCACCTACCTTCGTCTCTTTGTCAATTACTGGCATATTATTAGTGTCCTCCACTGTGAAGACCGATACAAAATACCTGTTCGATGCCTTGGCCATTTCATCATATCCCATAACTAAATTCCCCTTCTCATCCTCTAAAGGGCCAACGTTTACTTTAGCTAATCTTTTTCGTTTTATATATTTGTAGAAACTTTTGCTATCTGTCTTTATATTCTGAGCTAGTTTTTTCTCATGTTCTATCTTACTTTTCTTTATAGCTCTTTTTGTGGCTTTCTGTTGACCTTTAAAGGTTTCCCAATCTTCTAGTTTCACGCTGTTTTTGGCCACTTTGTATGCCTTCTCTTCCAATTTGATAGCCTCCCTTATTTCTTTAGACACCCATGGCAGATTACCCCTTTTCTTACAGTCCTTCCTTTTCACTGGAATATACTTTTGCTGAGCACTTTGAAAAATTGCTTTGAAAGTCCTCCACTGCTCGTCAACTGTCCCACCATAAAATCTTTGTTTCCAGTCCTCCCTCATTCTATTGTAGTTCCCCTTGTTCAAGCACAGGACCCTGGTATTGGATTTTATCTTCACACTCTCCATCTGTATTCTAAATTCAACCAGACTGTGATCACTCCTTCCAAGAGGATCCCTAACTATGAGGTCATTAATTCTTCCTGTCTCATTACACAGGACCAGATCTAGGATAGCTTGCTCCCTCGTCGGCTCCATTACGTACTGTTCAAGAAAACTATCACGGATACACTCTATGAACTCCTCCTCAAGGCTACCCTGACCGAGCTAGTTCGGCCAATCTACATGTAGATTAAAATCCCCCATGATAACTGCCGTACCATTTTCACAGGCATTAGTTATTTCTTTGTTTATTGCCCGCCCCAATGTGATGTTATTATTTGGTGGCCTATAGACTACGCCCATCAGTGACTTTTTCCTCTTAGAATTTCTAATTTCCACCCAAATGGATTCAACCTCATTCTCCATAGAACCTATATCATCTCTCAGCACCGTCCTGATGTCGTCCTTGAATATCAGAGCTACACCACCTCCCTTACCTTCCTGTCTGTCCTTCCGAATAGTCTGGTACCCTTGGATATTTAACTCCCAGTCGTGACCATCCTGTAACCATGTCTCCGTAATGGCTACCAAATCATATTCATTAGCAATGATTTGTGCCGTTAAGTCATCAACTTTGTTACGAATGCTACGAGCATTCAGGTAAAGTGCCTTTATGCTAGCTTTCTTACCCTCATGATTTCCAACATCTCTAATAATATCTCCTGAGTTATCCTTCCATTTTGCTTCTTTCATAGTCTGCCTTGAACTTAAACCCTCCTGCACACATGCTAACCTGCTGCTTACCTTTTCATTTACCATCATACTCCCTGTCGTTTTCCCTTTCCCTTCCCCCCCAACTCACTAGTTTAAAGTCCTAGTGACCACCCTATTTATCCTTTTCGCAAGAACACTGATTCCAGATCGGTTCAGGTGGAGACCGTCCCATCGGTACAGATCCCTCCGGTTCCAAAACTGATGCCAATGCCCCATGAAATGGAACCCCTCTTTCCCACACCACTCCCTTAGCCACATGTTTACTTCCCTAATTTTCTTATCCCTAAGTCAATTTGCATGTGGCTCGGGCAGTAAACCAGAGATTTACTGACATAATAGAGGTTTATAAAATCTTGGGGGACATGGAGAGAGTAAACAGACAAGGTCTCTTCTCCAGAGTGGGATAGTCCAAAACTACAGGATATAAGGTTTAAAGGTAACAGGGGAAAGATATAAAAGGGACCTAAAGGAGCAACTTTTTCATGCAGAGGGTGGGATGTGTATGGAATGAGCTGCCAGAGGAAACGGTGGAGGCTGGTACAATTACAACATTTAAACGGCATCTGGATGGGTATATGAATAGGAAGGGTTGAGGGGGATATGGGCCAAATGCTGGCAAATAGGACTAGATTAATTTAGGATATCTGGTCATAATGGACGAGTTGGACCAAAGGGTCTGTTTCCATGCTGTACATCTCTGTGACTCTAATGAGATGAAAGGTGTATCCAGAGAAACCAACAATGATAACAGCAAAGCAGAATCATCACCAGCAACTGCTGTTCAAAAACATGTGGCATAGTTTAGAATCTGAAATTGTTTAACCCTTAATACTGATCTCAGAAAATACGAAAATACTCATCAAAACTAGAGGTGCTGTTCCTTGAACCTCCATTGGGCTTCATTTTAGGTGGTCAAGGATATTAATTGTCAGAATGACAGTGGCATGTAGAATGAAATAGACAAGTCAGAAATTCCCAATTAGTGCGTTCAAAGCAGGGAGCAATTGTAGCACCCAGTACGATTCTCAAATACCAGGAAAGACACTGGCTACAATAATGGAACGAGAAGTGCAGAATATTTTCTATGAAACAGGTTAAATAAAATTCTCAAAATCCCATTCAACTCTTTCAGTTACTCAGGTCAACATATCATCTCAAAAATAGGATGATAGGAAAAGGAGATCATTCTGCCACTCAATTAGATCAGTAGCTAATCTTCATCTTAACTCCATCCAACTGCAAACTCTGTCTGAACAAAACACCCACAAACCTGCAGTCTTGGTCAGGCCGTATCTGCTGTTGACATCTGTCCAGTTCACAATTAGATAATCTGAGTTGCGTGTAAATTTTAAAAAGCTGCTTTCATATGGTTTTAGTTATTAAAACAGTGTGCAGTCATGTTTTTCCTCACTGACGCAGTTACTGCTGGATGTAAATTAGATCCAAAATTCCAGCCAGCCATTGTTATGCTGGGAACTTGCTATAAATTTTCCTCTGTTCACACTTGCTACACATTAATGATACAGAATCTGAAGACAAGTGAATGGCATCCCTATGCAACACAGTGAATAGCAACACATTAAGACCCTTCAGCATAGCCTTCCAATGGCAGCACACAAATTATGACAACATAAATGGGAATTTGAAGGGGAATGGGGTAGAAGAACAAGAGATACATAGATGTTTCATCAGCAATCATTTTACGGATTTCAGAAGGTGAAAATTATTTTAAACCAGACAAGGAAAGAACAGAAAGATCAGAATAATCTAAACTAAGGCTTTTACCTGATAAACAGGCTCACGGTGGGTGTCCTCAGACATTCCTGATCTAGCAATTAAAGGGTCATCCGTTTTACTGTTGTTCCACACTAAAACTTCTCCACTGTAAAGACCACCTACAGAGCACAGCACATGGTAGAAATCAAATCTTTATACAGCCATTCAGAAGTAATGATTTGAAGACAAACATGCTGCCATGTCATTCACTCCTCAGGACAGATGCACGAATTCCAAATTTCAAACGGTACAATCATTTACGCTGCACAATAAACGGGTAACGAATGGTTGAAAGTCATTTTCAGACTGAAGTGCCTTAGCTACCTTAAATTTACCTGGAATTTTTTTTTTTTTTTTTAAAACTCATTCAAAGGAATTTATTGCCCAATCCTAACATTTCCCATCCCAGAGGGCAGTTAAGAGTCAACTTGCTGTGGGTCAGAAGACATATGTAGGCCAAACCAGGCAAGGATGGCGATGTTCTTCCCTAAAAGGTCAATAAAGAACCTTTGGGTTTTTGCTGACAATTGGTAATGATTTTGTGGTGAAGTAACTCCACAGAGGCAAATATCCTGTCACCAAGTCACCCTTTATTTACACGTGGAAAGTCCTTGACACTGGTGTGGCTCCCTTAGAGACAACTCAGTGTCAGAATGTCTGACACTCCTCTTTTTATCTGTCAGTTTGGACCAGATTAATAGCCCCAACAAGGAGCTCATATTCTATGAGGTCCACCTGGCTGACCTTATTACAATCAGTGCCTCCTGGGGCATTTTTACACCGGGTCAGATTCCTCTGACGCTGCATCAGATATGGGCAACATGTAACTCAAGAGGCGAACTCCTTTGCACCTGGAGGATCTCAGGAGAAATTCACTCTCTTCTTCTGGCGGCAAAGGCTTCAATGTGGCGAGATCTGCCATGTCTCTCTCAGATTCATAAGTCTCTTCAACACCTGGAGAGGGAGAACCCATGGGTTCCAACAGCCTTTCCAACTGTTCAGAGGAGCAGGATACACTTTGCTTCCAACCTGTTTGTGAGTTTGCAGCTTTCATATGGCCCACGTGTTTGTTTAGGACCATCGCCCCTACCCAAATTTTATAGGTCACTGGTCCTGATCTTGCATCAACAATGCCTCTTACCCTTGCAGGGGCACTTCTGTGGTTCCTACAGCAAACTTCATCCCCTGTAGTAAAACGTATCTCTCACTTAGCGGAATCTGGAGTCCAGTGTTGCTGTTTCTGACACATTTCAACCTCCTCCCAGGTGACGGAAGATCAGAGTTAACCAGGTGCAGAGTCATCTCCTCATCAGCAACTCTTTTGGTGCTGCCCCTGCAGTTGCATGGGGAGTGGTCCTATAATCAAACAGGAACCGGGACAGTTTGGAATCCAGCGACACTGTAGACTGTTTCTTCAAGCCCATCTTCAAAGTTTGGACTACACTTTCTGTCAGGCCATTGCACAATGGATGGTATGGAGCTGTCCTTGTCTGTCAAATCCCATTCAAATTTAGGACATACTCAAATTCCCTGCTGGTAAATGATGGCCTGTTATCTGTGACCGACACTTCCTGGAGTCTGTGTATTGCAAAAGATGAGCACAGTTTTTCTGTTGTTGTTCCCGCATTTGACGAATGAACTCTATGTACATCCAACCACTTTGAATGGACGTCTACAATGACTAAGAACATTGAGCTCATGAAAAGGATCTGCAAAGTTGATGTGTAACCAAATCCAGGGCTGACCTGGCCATTCCCACTAATGTGGGAGAGCTGTTGGCGGTAATTTCTGTCCTTGTTGGCTCTCTAGGCACTG